AAAAAAAAAAAAAAAAAACAGAAAAAAAAACAAAAAAAAAAACGAGAGTTGATTAACAAATATCTATTCTAAAGAGCTTGCGCGCGCGAAATATAATTACAAGTAGAAAAATCTACGCGAACATTATTCACAAAATGTAATAGTTTTTTGTTTTGTGACGTAAGAATAGACAATTATTGTAATAGGGCAGTAAAAGTATTAGTACTCTATTAGTAGTGTAATAGAAGTAGTAACAATACCATTAGCGGTAGCAGGAGCGATAGTATAATAGTAATAGTAGTAGTAATATAGTGTAATTTTTGTTGCGATAGTAGAAGTAATGGTATAGTAATAGTAGTACTAGTAGTAATAGTGGTAATGGAAGGAATAGCAATTGTAGAATAGAGAACGATACTATTACTAGTAGCAATAGCATTAATAATAGTGATTATAGTAGTAGAGTAATAGTACTAGTAATAGCGGGGTAGTAGGTAACAGTATAACAATTGCAGTAATAACATATATTCTTATAACATATTGTTCGCGTTGCCTAACCCAAAGTAAAGATTGATTCTTTCGTGTTCGTTGATTTCATGTGTTTCTATTCTATTTCATATATAATAAAATGTTGCACATATATAAATTTATATATACAAAAACAACATCGGAGATTGAGAAATGTGAAATATATTAACACATTAAGAAATAGTATATATATACTGAAAATTATTTAAATATTAAATGTAGAAAAAAGATTTACGATTCCAAGAAAGCTAACATTTATCTTAACTATTTGCGCAGACATTTACTTAAAAATTTCTCATAAAAAAATAAATAACATTTCTTGTAGCTTGAGATGTAAACGTACATTTTTTTTATTTTTTAAAAATTGGATGTATTTAAATTAGCTGCACTCTTTCTAGTACCTATTCAATCTCAGTTCTTGTCGACGAAATTTCTTTGGGATCTACTAGACCTCAATATTAACAATTAAGTGTTAAGAAATCGAGCGAGTAAGGGAAAGACGTGAATTATGAAATCCGGTCAAAAGTTGCGAGTTTTTTTTTTTTACTACCTCCGAACTATTGTGAGAAAGCTACCTGACGAAAACGGTCAGAGTCTCGAGTAATGAGAGAGCGTGATAACCTCTACCCACGTATCCTTAACTTTCGCGAGATTAATTACGTATTTGACAGTTAAAGCAATATCTATTCCCGAATATCTTAATACTGTAATGAGCAACTGGATTTGAAGGTACCGTAAAGAGGTTGACGTTTCGGTGATCGACGGAGGTCAGTGAAGTTCATCTTCATCGCTGTCGTTACCGTCTTTCGATCTAGCGGCACCTCCTTCACCGTCGCTAGAACCCGAGTCACTTGCAGAATCTTCGGACTGCCAACCTGCTTGTTGCTGTTGAGTCGCGTGTTGCTGCGTAGCGTGTTTCGAAACCTTATGGCGTTTTCCCGCACGAGATGCCGAATCTGCACCAGCGCCGTCCAACATAGGTTGCAGAATCCGTCGACGAGCATTGATAAACCAATTGTTCACTTGCAGTAATGTTAAATTTGTCTGACTAGCGATTTGACGCTTCTCGTCTTCAGTTGGATAAGGATGCTATAATAAAAATTAATATATATACAAATAGAGAGATTGTAATCGCACGTCTAGGTGTGACTTTATTTCGACAGAAAAAGTCCTTGCAAAGTACTTACCACTAAATGCTGAAAGAGCCACGTTCTCATAATACCAGTAGCATGTTTAGGTAAAACACCTCGCTTCTGGCGTCCCTTTCTAGCGCTACCGTGATTACTTCTATGATTCCCAGCGTGATTTGAGGACGTGTTGCCGGTATTCTCATCCTCATCTTCACTTGCTGCAGGAGAAGGTGAGCCTGCAACAGTAATATCTAAACACGATCGACGTGTTTCATATACTCTCGTGACAAAGAAAACAATATTGTTGCGTCCGCGAGTCGTTAAAAGTGATGCGCGAGAGCACTCCGCGTGGTTGACTTCAACAATATGGTACATGATGTGGTATATAACATAATAATAATTTACAAAAGAAGTAGTAATATGTTTCCGCGCACGTGTACTACTATAAGAGGTAAGAGAGTAGGCAAACTTGTGGGATCTAACCGAAATATTCTTCTCTCTCTCTTTCCTTTTCTCTTTCTCTTAACGGAACGAGTCCCCAATAGCCAGCCTCTTCCAAGTATATTCTTTCGGAAATAGTCCGCAAATATTCAACACTGTCATCTAAATATAATGAATAGGATTTTAACGGGATACGCTACATTTGTGTGTTAATGTTGATGCCAATACTGATTATGAAGAAAACAAAACCGCAAAGTCAAACATTATACGAGCGGATATTAGTCAGTGTTGTAGCGAAAATCGATGACACAGAGATATGTCGTAATCCTGCGAACTTTAATTCCCATTAGTCAATGAAATGCTGACGCAATATGTTCTATCGATGATGACAGAAAGGATAGAATAATGTGACAATTTGTGATAAAACAAACCAATCGAGAGACAGTGGAGTCGTGAAGTAGACTCACCTTGACCGAGATACATGTCATTAACTGGAGCGCATCCGTGCGCTCCAATTTGAGACAAAGGCGTGCTTCCGTGTACTGCGGACGGTGAGAGTGGGTCGTCGTGGTCTTGGCTAGTAGATTTACCGGAATGCTGGACGGCGGAAGACAATCGGACCGACGACGTTTGGTCGTGATTAACGCCCTCTTCTCGTGAATTTCCACCGTCGTTCTCCGCCACGGAGTCCCCTCGGCTCACTCTGAATCCGTTAGCTCCCGACTCAACATCATTGCCTGTAGATGACAGCACCTGGCAAATATATGTCTCAACTAGCCGTCAGAGAGCAGGGATGGGAATTCTGTAATACCTTCAGAGATGTACACGACGTACGCTTGTGGCAATCACGCCGTTCTGACAGAATAATAATGATGACAATCTGTTTGCAAGCAAATGTACTGGCTACTCGTGTACATCTCTTTGACTACTATAAGGATATCTACGTTGGTATGGGGATAGACAGGCTGGGGAGCCTCGCTTCGCATATATCAGCGTATACATCAGAAAAACGTCTAACCTGCAACGGACTGCTGCCGTTGCTTCCACTTGACGGACCCATGTCGTGCCCGTGGTGGCTGTAGTCGCTGCGTAATAGGTTCTCGCTTTGCATCTTGCCCTTCAAACACGTAATATATCTGTTGCAAAAGTCCTTGCACAACTCTTGCACCTTTTCCAACTCCAGAAGATGGATACGTAGCACCTGTATTGCCTTGATCATCTGCAATCGGAATCGCAAAAAAAAAAAAAAAAAAACAAATGTCAGAGCCAACTTCATTATTGTCTCGATAATCGATTGTTGATTGTCTTTTTCCGCTTCGTTCATTTGTTTGATTTCTCTTACCAAACCGTCAATCTCGGGGTCATTGATCAAGAAGGGCTTTCGGTCTCTTTCTTGGTGCTGGACAAAAGCCTGTATATCCATGTTGAAGCTTTCGGACGTGGAGTTGTCCGAACTCTGGGTCGCTTGCTCGCATCTTTCGAAAAGTAACGCCAACAATGGAAATAGTGGATGTTTGTATACAGCCCTCTTGTCAGCCTCGAACTGAGCCTGATCCTGATGGGTTGTATAATCCGCGACCCCGCTTGCAGGGTCCTGATCGTATCCAGGAGTCACCATCGCTAGTGCAACAGCGGTATTACCCTCTTGCATCCTGCGGCGTATTTTACATCAATCATCGAACTTACTTAAGTTTAACATCATTCTCTTCTCATAGCAATCTTACCTATCATTCCTTCTTGACAATCCCCATTCTCATTCAGATTAGTCTTCGAGACTTACTTTGCACCTCAAAGCAACTTGATACAACACGACTGTCAAGCCAGCTAATTCATTTAACGCACTAGAAAAAAAAAAAAACAAACAAAATTGCAATAAAACTACTTAGATCTTATATTGTCTACCGACGTATTTATTGAGATTCTTAATTTTTAAACATAATACTCTAATAATAATAATTTTATTGAGATTTAATTTTTAAACAAATAAGAGACACGATATAAAGAAATTTTATTGAAATTTTAATTTTTTTACAATGAGACACGATGTAAAGAAATTTTATGCGAGAGAAAAAAGCGAAGTAAAAATCAGCAAGAAACAAAAACGGAAATTGTATTGGTCGCGTCCTTGACTCGCGACACGAATAATCGAACAATGCGGCACCGCATTTAAATGTCATCATTAGCATCGGCGCTATCGACATCGAGGCTTACATCGATTTCAACGTACTCTTCTGATATATATATATATATATATATATATAAATAAAAAATGAATCTAAACAAAAAAAAAACACTAACGTTGAGCGGTACGCGATTTTTCAAGTTATTCAGATGAGATACTCCAATTCCAATGTCTCTTCTTGAAAAATATAACAAAAATGCTGATATTCTACCACTAATTAGCAAGAATCGGCTGTGTGTAAAGGAAGCGAGAAAAAGTGAACGAGAGCAGATCTTTACAGAGAGAGAGAGAGAACAAAAAAAAAGAAATTATTTTTCTCAAGTTTGTGAAGAGAAAAATATCGAAGGTGTCATCGTGTTAGAGCGCGTCCCATTTTTTAAGAAACAATTTATACAAAATTGTGCGAGTACGTATATGTGTAACATATACGCGTACACATGTATATGGAAAAGGAGACGAGAAGATACAGCTGCTGTATTTCGCGTTACGAGGACAATAAAAATGATGAAAACGCGCGATTCAATGAGCACGTGTTCCGCCGTTGTCTCGCCGAGAACACGGGAAGAGGAAGAGCGCGTTCATCACCACTGTTTACTACCCGTCGATCATCGAGACTTGAGCTAACCTGCCTGCCCGCAGCATCTACGCAGCCGTCGTCGTCGTCGTCGTCGTCGTCGTCATCTCGCCGCCGCGCAGAAAAGCCGCAGTAAAAAAACACACCCTACGGACAGATTTATATGCCGTCCAAAAAGAAAAAAAACTCTTCTCGATCGTTTTCCGTTCCCTGGTTTTTTTTTGACAGTCGAAACGATCTCTCGCGCCGCGCACAATACGTTCACAATCGGGACGAATCCCGTCGAGCGTTTTGGAGCGACAACGATGTTGAACCGATTCGCAGCTTACGTGTATTTCGAATCAATTCTAGAAAGGGAGAACATCGACACGCGCGAACCAACACAACCACGCACGTCGAAAATATCGTCAGCTGAACTGTCAATGCCACGAGAAAAAATCTCTTCTAATCGAGTCGCGCTCTCTCGGGAGCATTTGGTTTCCGTATACTATTTAGGACTAGAGGATGATCATCTCATTCTACAACCGGTGATACGGTGTGATTTTTTCGAAAAATTTCGCACGTGCAAACGCACGTTTCGATTTTTTTTTAAATTAAAAAGCGACTCGTCTTGTCGCGTTTTATCGTCAATTGTTTCGCGAGTTGTCCGACACTCGACGATTCCCCCGACGAGGGATCGCTGAGAAACATCGTCGGTCTCTCATTAAAAAAAAAAAAAAAAAAAAAAGCGCATATATTTGTAACAATCGCGATGACGCCGCGAGAAACGCGGGGAAATGAGAATCGCAGGGAGATCGACGGTCGACGGAAACGATGTCGCCCGCGTGAACCTCGACGGGTTCGATTCCCGTCGGAAGAAAAATGGGCGTTCACTCCGGTGTCTCGTATGTAACGCTGACACTCACACACACACACTCTCTCTCTCTCTCTTTCTTTCTTTCTCTCTTTCTCTCTTTCTCTCTCTCTCTCTCTCTCTCTCGAAACAAGCGGACCTAACCTCACGTTCGTTCTCGTTGCCCGAGACGGGAATATGGAAAACGCAAGAACGCGAGGAGGACTTCGTCGCGAGCGAATTTATCGTCTTGATCGTATCGATCGATCGGTCCGGTCGTCTCTCGCAATCTTCTTACCAGTTATTATATTATCTTGGGACGTTTGTCGAGGATCCCCGCGTAACAAAATTGTGTGCGGCGGCGCCTTCTCGCGCGCGCGGAAACTACCACCGCGTTTTGTTTCACTTGTTTTATTTTGTCAGCCTCGTCACTCGATGCGATCGAACTCGGAGTCGCACGCAAACAGCGACGACGACGGGGGGTATATTCCCGACGGAAATACTCGCGTGCGTTTTCTCGCAACACGTGCCGTGCACGATCGCGCCGCTTAGCAAAAATTCGAAATTCGAGAAAAATCGGATCCGTTCACCGAGAAAGCCGGTCTTTAATCAGCGATGCCGGTCCCGTAGCGATCGCGAGTCTGTTTACCCGCTACACTCGTTCATGTAGACGATAAATTCGAGTAACCGGACATTTTTCAACGCGACCGTCCACCCCATCTACTCCTTCCACTGTTTCGTCTTTTGTGACGTCATCGATTCAATACTTTTCGCAAAGGTTTCTCGCCGCGGCGGCGACGGCGGCGGCAGTGTCGTCGGGTGTCTCGGCCGCACTTCAGATGGCGCCACTTGTATAAATGTTGGTCCCGCGCGGTTATAACAAAATCCTTTCGCAGTCAAAAAGAAAACAAAAAACAAACACTATATAATGAAATTATACGCGGCGCGACGTTACCGTCACGGCAATGAAACTCGCTATTTTAATTGCAAGCATTTTTGTTTCGCAATAATATCGATATTTCGATAATTGTAAAAAAAAACTGTGACATAAATGTCGAGTTTGTAACTTTTAAAAATTTCTTACAACAATATATTTATATTTGATAAATTAAAGAATCTTTTAAGGCTCCGAAGAATATTTATATTTGATTTCTTCTTGTCAATGTCAAAGTAAACATTTGTGCTAAAAAAATTTTGTGTCGTAAAATAAACGCTTTAGGATTTTAAAAAAAACTGTTATTGCTAACGGTCGATAACACACGTCATTAACCCGTGATTGATAATGAAGCGACCTCTTTCTCTCTCGCGGATAATAATCTTCTCGCGTGGTCCCGCGGAATTAAATCAAAGGTGAGGTAACATCGCGAAACGGCACAGTCGTGATAACAATCACACTTTCATTCGATAACGAGAAGAATTACTCATCTCAGTTACTTATATCTTTTATATTTTATTCTGAGTATTTTTTTAAATTTTGTTTTTGGCCCATTTATACACGGCATAAATTATATAACAATTCTTCACGTTTGAACACAACACTGTAATGAGAGAGCTAAGTTGCAAGTTTTTTTTTTTTTTTTTTTTTATAATTTCACGCATTTTTTTTTTGTTCTGTTGCGCGTGTAGACGCGCAAAACATATATCTATGAATTTTGATATAAGATAATGATAGAATGAGTGCGCGTTTAAAAATGTGTTAAACAACGGCTCGAAGTATATTATTTTAAATAAATAATAGGCGCGGCGCAGAAACGCCGCACTTCAAAAGCGAAGCGACGCCTTACCTTTTCCATTTTCGCGATATCGCGAAAAAGAGCGCGGCTATTTCTACTTCATCATTTTTATATCTATCTCTCCGGCTCTGCCTAGAACGATGAGTAAGTACACGGAGGGATTTTATCTTATCGTTACATACTTTGTTATCACGTATGCGAAGTTGCGCGTTGATACGGTTAGATCAATTTTACTTACGATATTTCAACGGGGCTTAGTGGCCTCGTCTGTTTTGCTCAGAATGGATCTTCATCTCGTATTGGCGTCTTTGCTCGCGTTAGTTCTTGTCACGAAGTGCGACGTTGTGAAACATGGTACTGCAATTGCGAACGAGAATCAAACAACAATCAGCAGCGGCACCACGTCAAAATCGGCGAGTTTGTGTATCGTGTGCACTTGCACAGGTAAACCAAGGCTGAAGATGTTACGCTCAATGTTCAATTAATTGCGATCGTTGCTAAAAAAAAAAAAAAAAAA